AGACTCTTCGCAACAACACTATGGTGTGCTTGTCGATACGTTGGAGCGTGGATATGGAGATCAATACCGAAAGCAGCTTCACCAGATAAATCGAAGAACAAGACAACAGACAGCTATAACAACTTGGAAACGATATCAGATGTCTGGTTAATTTGGCCTACCCAGAAGCAGCAGCAGCAGAAATGCGGGAACAACTAGCGGCTGAAAACTTAATAAGTAAATAGAATTGGAGACATGAACGTAGGCACAGAGAATGCTGCTCATAACCAAACCATCAATTAGCAGCGATGCCCCAGAATTTGAAGCAGCCCACGAAATAGCCAAACCAAAAGATATATTAGAGCTACAAATTCGAGAAGAAAAAGAGCCAATATAAGAGAAATTATTATTAAAGACTTGGTGATGGAACTGCTGAAAAAAATACGAATGGCTGTAACCAGAATCAAACAGGGGAACTCGCTTTCATTCTAATAAGTCCCAGCCTTAAAGGGGGTGTGCGCCAAAAAAACAACTTCATCATAAAAAAAGCGAAAAAAAAATCTAAGAATAACAGTGAAAACCACACCCCTCTATGACAAATAATACCGAAGATATGGCTCTATGAAGGTACCGAATCTCACCCTATGACGTCACGAAAGCTCAAGCGACGCACGAGAAAGTGAAGTATGTAAATTGAATTTACATATGTTTTTCCTGTGTCACCTGCAAATAATCTAAACCAAAACCACTCACGCGTGCCGGGAACAAGCAAATTACCAATGCGGAGCGCGGCTGGACGAAGCTCTAGTGACGTCACCGACACTTTAAAGCGGCATATCTCAGCGATGTTTATCGTAGAATAATGAGGTTTGAACAGTTATTCTTAGATTATTTTACTCTAAAACTTTAATTTTTGGCTCAGACCCCCTTTAAATGGGTAAATTGAGCCAAATCCCCGAATGTTAACTTTGCTATCGTTCGTTAAGTCTAGCTTGTCTTTGGAATGTAAATCGATTACTTTTGTACTATTTGTTAAATGGCTTGTTCATTTTTTTGATCGAAAATTTTTGTGTGTTACTTTTCCCGTATTTGGTTAGTTCATTCAAAGTAATTTTTTATTAAGTATCCTATATCTTTGCAGAATATTATGTGACGGAGCTTTGAAAAAGGGAAAAGGTTCCAAAGTGATTATTGATTTGTCTCGAATAAATGAGGAAACTGATTATACAGAAGGAATTCAGTATTCCGGAAAGAACTAAATAAATATAACTCTACACTACACTAGGATTTAACTATTAGGGATACAAGTGAAAATAGTTTCAAAGCCGCCAGAACATTTCGCAAACAAAGAGACTTGAGTAAATAGAGCAAGCAGTTTTGGCTGAAACAGGGTAACTGGTCGCTTTATAAACGCCTCCGGAATTTTATACTTCTATATGTGCAGATGGGGATGATAGGGGCTGATAGATAATATACTAATTATATTCTCACAATAGTAACAAGAAAATTTCAAGACATAGTTTAGTATGATCTAAACTAAATCCTTATTACCTAATGTTTCACAGAGCGTAATATATAAATGAATTTTTACAATAGACGTCTCAATACTCTCTATGAAAACAGAAAAGAATTTTTAATTTCATTCATCCATTTGGATTTCCAAAAAGTCGCTAACATCGAGATCAGATTTGTTATGTTGTTTACAAGTGGCTAAAAATTGATTTACTCTATTGTCAGTTTGTGCAAGGATACTTTTCCAAAATGTTAGTCTCATTTCCAATCAGACTAATGAAATGATTCATCAAACCATAGCAATCCTTGATTGGCTTTTTTTTTTGAAGACCCGATATCTATTTTCCTGTTGATCTAATGCAACTAGTCTTTTAATTTTGACATTTTTTTAGAATATTTTACTATAATTTCATAAGTTTGAAAAAATATATATTTGTCACTGGGGATTCGTTACCTTAGCTGGAATTAGAAATAGAAATAAACCAAAATTATTTTATTGCTCAATAAAAAAGTGCACATCAGTTGTATGCATTTCTCAGCAAATGAAAAATTTGTTGACAGTTTTACCTACTCGCGTGCCGTGCGGTAAACTGTACTTTTCCTCACTAATATGCGTGCGGAAGTACTAATTTTCCACATACTATGCGGAATATACTATACGGAGAATACCTAGTTAAAAAAGCAAAAATAATGCAAAAGAGAGTACTTAGTGTTTTATGGCCAAAAAAATCTTTTACTTTTAAACACTAATTCGATTTACATTGGAAATTTAAATGTTTGATATTCTTCAAATTCTGAATTCTCTAAAGTTATAGCAGGATATAGGTTAGGCTTCAATACTAGTAACCGAGCTTATGATAATAGTTAGATAGACATGATATATTCAAGTACAAACAATTAAATTAAATACCTACTAAATTTTAGTACTGTTTAGAAAAAATGAAATAAAAACGCACGGCCGCAAGACTCTTGCATGCTCGGTCTTGGTCTTGCATAAGTGTTGCACTGCTCGGTCTTGTAGTCTAATAAGTGGTCTTGGTCTTGGTCTTGCTTTTTCTGCAAGACCAAGACCAAGACCAGTCTTGCTCATCACTATTTAAATAATTTTTGAGCCACGGATTGCTCGGTCCGCTCGCCGAATCTCAAAAAGAAGATCTTTGGAAACGTAAATCCACCAGGAACGTAAAAAACCTTATTCAAATACAACACCTTCTTGTTGAAATTATTTTCGAGTCTCCAATTGCTCGCTCCGCTCGCCGAATCTCAAAGAGAAGATTCTCGGAAACGTAAATCCACCAAAAACGCGAAAATATTAAATATTCTCAAATTAATTAGATTCGAAAAACTTGTTTCATTCAATTCCTAAATAATAAAAATCAACGCAAAAAAATAAATTAGATTAAAAAAAAAAACATTCGAAAAAGTTTCCATCATTCGAACAATTTTCCATTCGGTCAATTTTCCTTTGGCATCATGCCAATGCTTAATAGGCGAAACACGTGTAACCCTAACTTAATACATTCACATTCGAGCCTTTGACTTTGAGTTTGTTTTTCTTTTCGACTTTATTAAAACTAATTCAACACCCTTAAGCTGATTAAGGTGAGTCATTGCATTTTCTAAGCTCATTAGAATTTCACTTGCGCGTCATACCACTTAAATAAAAAAGGACACGAGTTTGAACCATTGGCTAAAAGCTGGTTTATAGTGGTTCCAGGGCTATCTTGAAGATCATTAGGTTTTATGAAAAATGTTATTGTCTAGTTTCAAAGCGACCTTGCAGATCACAATTGAGAGCGCATTAGTGTTACTTGAACTAAAAACACGAGTTTCGTAAGAGAGTAGAGGTGATGATTCGTCCGCGAAAAGATTTTGAAAATGATCAACTTCTAGAAGAAAGGACAGAAGCCAGTCACGACTCACGATCCCTTTTTAGTAAAAAAATGAAGATTAATGTGTGTTACTTTTCTAAACCAAAAAAATCCTCCATTGTACAAGAAAGGCTCCAAGATTTGGAATTAGGTGGGTATCTCGGGTAGATATTTTTGATATATGCTATATGGAAACTCAGAAAAGTTTTTATCCTGATCAGGTGAAATGCCGCGATCTTGAGATTCAGAAGACCTTCTTTTTGACCAGAATATCGATAATTTGGCGACAGTTAACTAACTTTAATATTTCATGTTATTTTTTGTCAATATGAAAACCAGTTCCGAAGAATTTTGTGAAGGTTATTTATAATGTCATATTTTTATTTTTTTTGCGTATTAAATTTCAATTAAGCGTATTATCTTACAATTTTTTGGCTTACATAACACTTAATGAAGGTAGCAGGTAGGTACCGAATTGTTCTTAAATAATTTAGTAAATACATTTTATTTCATAATGCGACTAATCTAATTATTGTGTATTTATAACCTCCCATGTCACGTGTGAGTTTTGAATGGAAGAGTTTTTTCTAATATCTCGTTGGGCATCTCAAATTGAAATTTTTTATCATGGAAGGCAGATTAATAGATCGGTTCGTATAGATATATATATATAGATATTTATATAAATCTATTTGAAACCAATTTTTGAAACAAACAATAATTTGAAAGTTTATATTTATTGACCATATCGCGAAGTGGTAATTTTCAAGGAAACAAACACAAAAAGTTTTTGTCCGTATTCCTTAAAATTATTAAATTCCTTTTTTTAACTAAAAGTACCTATATAAACTATTAGGTACATATTCACGTGTTTAAAATTATTAATACGTTTGCAACTAATGATTGGTAACTGTATTTATTTACTTTTAATAAGTATCTCATTTAATGTTAAGTTAATAATTAGGAGTGTCATTTCGATCCAATAAGTACGAGTTCACCTATACTGACCCCATAGGGGTATAATATTAAGGCGGTATAGGTGGTACAATAACCAATCATTTTTACTTTCTCTCGAAAATTACTTGTTCTATATTTGCACACATGTTCAACGAGCGCGAATTTTGCGTTATTTTTCAATGATTCACATATTTTATATAACTTTATGATTTCTACAATCTAAAACTAAAAGAGAGAGTTTCAAGCCGAAACCGAATGAACATATACAAATAATAATGGGACATTAAACCAGAGGTAGGTATTATGAAATGTTCACGCCTAAAAGCAGCAACCTAATATTTAGTTAGAGCATTTTCTGAAAAAATACCTAGGTGTATCTACTGGGACTCTGGACGGTAGGAAAAGAACATTTATCTATCTGTTTGGTATTCCTACAAGAATGTAAATTTTGCTGCTCTCGATTCCTTGGTGCAAGTTTTTGTAAGTTACTCAGATACATTTTTTGAAAGGTGGTACCCAGAACAACTATTTATTTTGACCTGAACTTAACAATTCTTTAATTCAAAAAGCCAATCAAGGCAGAAAACTATTAATATCAAATCTAAAAGAGAAAAAAAGACCATAAAAAAACTTTCCTACCAAATAAATAAAATAAACACAAATAAAATAAGATATTTTTACCTTAGCAACTTGTAAGACAACAGCAAATAAAAAATCTTGTAGTTAATTTTCACAGGAATAATGCAATTTCCTGAAGAACAGCATTTTTTCAAATTAAGTCACTGATGAACTATATGAAAGGATGTGACCGACTTAACACTTCTTAAGATTGACCGTTACATGCGAAGGCGCTATACGTAATCAAACGCCACTGGTCGCGAGTTCGGACATACACGACCAACCAACTTTGAAGCACTATCCACTAGCACTCACTAGAATATGTGGACGGAAATTCTGATTGTCCGGTTGCTTTACTTCAGCGTGCTTATTCTCCCTCTCAAATTAAAGGTTTTTCTTCTGTTGTGGTTGCGCGCCAAACAAATGCGCCACAAGCTACACGCCGGATAAACAATATAATTATTATGTGAACAAAATTATTATTAATTAATAATAAGAGTTCTATTAAAAATTAACAGTCACTCTGAAATGGTACGTTAGTAATTCTATGTCATAAAATCTAGGTACGTCATGAAAGTTAGCAACGGAATCAGAAACGAAAATCAAATTTTAACTGTCGTCCAAATAAGTAGTGAAAATTAATATATAAATAGCTTTGGTGCGCTATTTAAGTCAAAATTGACATTATTTTATGTAATAATAGGTACTGCCAGAACCTACGGTGTACCCTCTTTATAGATTAGACTTTGAAATTCCACCACCGAAGGGATAAGAAAGCAAAATTCAACCCTAATATCAAATAAGTCTATTGGAATAAATACCTACTCGTAAAAAAATCTTTGTAACACCACCAAACTTTTTTTTTTAATATTTTTTTGGGACGTTAATAATAATGAAATGCGAAAATAACAAGTGTGCGACCGGGTTGAAGGAGGTAGATTCAACCCCAATAAAGATAGGAGAAAGATACTAACTTCGGAAATAAAATTTGTGACACAACCAAACTTTTTTTAAATATTCTTTAGGACGTAAATAATGATCGAGTATCAAAATAACGAGTGTGCGACCGGGTTGAAAAGGTGCATTCAACCCCAAAGATAGGCGAAAGATACTAACTTCTGAAAAAAATTTTGTTACCCATCAAACTTTTTTTTTTATATTCTTTGGGACGGGGGAAATAATAATAAAATACCAGAATAAAGAGTGTGTGACCGGGTTGAAGGGGGTAGACTCAACCCTGAAAATGGGAAAAGATACTAAAAATTTCCGTCGTATCCGTATCCGTATCGAACTCAGGGCCAATCCTAGGGTATCGGCCGCCCGCGTGCGAAGAGCAATTGCGCCGCCCCATAGAGATATAGCACCCTTACGTAGGTGCTGGTGGTGGTAGCCCGCCGCAGGCGCCGCCGGAGGTTGACATTTTTTTCTGAGTGCCACGCCCAAAGGCGTTCATTTCGAGCCTCAAAATGAACGTTTTTGCGCGTTTAGAGTTGAAAAAAAACTTGTTTAGAACATATTTGTTTTCTATGAGTTGTTGAATGCGGGTGAGTGGTGATCAATAAAGACAAACACTATCCTAAAACTAAGTAGGGCCTGGGTACGAAAGTGAAAAATAGGCCCCTGTGGAAAATCAAGACACCCCAGTCCCTAGTCGTAATACTGACCTACATAACATACCCACCTGCACTTGGAAGTCTTTGGTATAGTTTTTCCTTAATTGGAACAAGGTGAACATAAATTATAACTGGTGGCTGACTAGTAGCAGTACATTTCTTATGGAAATTTTCAGTGACTAATCAGCCACTAGTTGGTACCTTGTTCCAATTGAGTTTGGAAATACTATATCAAAAAAGTTAGTAATATTGTTAGCAGGAGTATTCATCTAGTTCTGTTGAACGGTTAACGGTTAGTAATTATTCTTGCAGAATTAGGTGAATTGGGAACAAAAATAAACATTTTGAAAAAACAAAGCAGAAGAATTTAGGAAATATAAATAATTATGCGATCTTATGATTGATGTGTAAAGAGTTAAAACATTATGCGTGAACCTACACATTGACTGTGCACCAAACTTTCTATTCATGCTATCAGGAGATCGGGGTTTATTTTCATTTTTCAGGAGTTTTTTAAAGTTCAGCTTATTTCTTTATTAGAAGTTGTTTTATTTTGAGAAATTCGTAAAAAGTTTTACTTTTATCTTGAATGACAGAATTATAATAGATTTGGCCGACCGCGTGCGGGGCACGCGCTGCACACCTGCTAGGATCGGCCCTGATCGAACTGCGCATGTGCAGAAGAGATACGAGCGTCGAGATGCGTTACGAGCGTCGCATCTTTACGGCTCCCGTATCATAAGTGTATCCGTGTCGGATCCCTGACAGAATGTCAAAAATTCACAGTAACATAACCTGCAAAAATTGTTTTTTTCTTATTTCTTAGATTGTTTATGAATTTGTTTTGTTGTTCGTCCACTGTTCAGTTTCGTGATGGATAAAAGAAAAAGATTGTTTTATACAGCGGACGATGATCTGTTTCTCCTCATGGAGGTAGTGGATCTAACCCTTTTTGGAACTCGGTCTCGGTGGAGCCTTATTCAAAAAATTATTGAGAAAGCGACTGGTAAAGGCTTTAAAGAAAAAGGCCTAAGGGACAGGGTGTCTCATGGTGGAAAAATTTGAAGAGAAGAAAAAAAGGGAGGAATTCAAGTAAGTGACAATTTTCTTTGATTTTTTTGTCGAGTAACCATCTGTACTCTGTACCAGTCGAGAGGTTTCCTAATTATTATGTATCTATTATAATACAATTAGGATGAGAGGTTGCTTCCATGGACAGCTCATGAACTGTGAGGAATTTTAAAAAAAAACTATCAAAAGTAGGTATTTTTATTTGTTAAAACAAGAATATGAAACAGAGTTACCTAAGAAACATAAAAAAAATACAAGGACGAGAAGTTTTTCCTATTTCTAAAATGAGTTCAAATATTTTAGGTTTTAGAATGACCTTTAGTAATGTATGCTGTTTTTGCTACTACATAATGCATAATTTCATTTGAAACATAATATTTTAGATCTGGGGTGGAAGAGGAGGTGACTGAACTAGATGATCTATTGCACTCTATTTTGTTATTAATACAAGATTTAACGTCTAAAACACGTCTAACGCCTCATTAAAAAGGGTTCCAGAAAAGAGAGATAGCTTCTCAGGCCCAGACAGAGTCACTAAATAGTAGGTACCTATAGAGTATAGTTTTGTGGTAGCCATCGAAGATTTAAGCCAATATAGTTATTTTCCTAACAAGTGCGCAAAGTGTTACTTTTCCGCACGCAAACACAGTTATACGAACGACGCGAAGCGGAGTTCGGATACGTGTTTGCGTGCGGAAAAGACACTTTGCGCACGTGTTAGGAACAAAATTTTTCCTACGAGCTTCATATCAGGTAGGTAACAACAAAAATTTAAAAAAAAAACGATAATTTGTTTAATTATTTTTAATTAACTTGAAGGGAACCTATGCATTTATCAAAAAATTACATAACAAAAAAAAAAATATAACAGAAAATCATCGTCAGAGCTCTTCATCTTAAAGCGTTTAATGGCGATTTCCATTTGTCATCAGTGCCGCACTGAGTGCATCCGCATCTTTTTCTAAAAGCATGTAACATGTAAGGATAAGGATACATTTTTTTGCCCTGTTTCGACAAATGGAAAATGCTATAAATTTGATGAGATAGTTTGTAGATGCATATATATAGAAAACAAATCTGACAATGCGTTGAAGTTAATTAAATTTGGTGTTTATAGGTATAGATGTTAGCTGGAACAGGAACAGAGGAAAAATTTGTCATCATGTGTCAAAGTCGACAGGTGTACTTATTGTTGCTTGACAATTATTTTTACTTTTCGGCACTCAGTGCGGATAAGGCCTGTATCCGCACTGAGTGCGGAAAAGTGCAACTTTGAGAACCGAAATGCGTGCGGAAAAGTACTACTTTGCGCACGCTCGTAGGAAAAAGTATTTTTAGGAATGTATGTAGTGCTCCATAAGTTTTTAAAATGATTGTCGAAGATTTTACTTCATGTTGTTTTTTTCCATGTTTTATAGCTTATGAAGAGATTCAGTTGAATGAAATCGTCGAGAATGATGAGGCATCAATTGAAATTATTTCTGTTGATGAAGATGGAAATTCTCTTGAAACAATGAAAATACAATTGGAAACAATGAAAATACAGTTGAAAACAATGAAAATAAAGTTGAAAACAAAGGAAATACAGTTAAAAAAACACTCGTTGCAGAAGCAAAATCAAGCAGAGCACAAAGATAGGGGAGATGTGGCAGAGGTGGTGGAATTCGAAGTAAGAGTTCAATTAATTTGTAGCAAAGAGTTGTAGATTCAAACAAATTTGTTTTTTATCATAGCTCCATCAAGAGTCAGAAATAATGTAGAGCAAACGTCATTAAAGTACCTTGAAACCAAGAATGAACGCTGGTATAAAATACGTTCTAGAGAACTGGACCTTGAAGGGAAGAAATTTGAATCTGAGCGAGAAATGCAAATGGAAGAAGAAAGACTGGAATTGGAAAAAAAGAAACTCAAGATTGATTTAGATCTATTTCACAACCAGCAAAAACTTATGGAAATTGCTTTCAAAGCCAAGTGTGGTTGCACCAGACCAAATACATTGATCTAACTTTATTGTTGTATGTTTAAAAATGAAGAGTATTTTTGAATTTTTGAATAAATAAATAGTTTCGTGTCTAAATATTCTTTATTATTTTTTAACAGGATACCTTAGATAAATAAATTCATAATTTTACTGCTAGATTAAATCAAAACAAAATTTGAGGTTAGAAAATATGACGAGACAAGATACGGATACGAAAACTGAAGTTGAACAGCTTATGGCGTTTTAACATCGGTAACGTAAGCCAATACGATACGATTACGGATACGGATAAGTACGCATTTTCTAGGATCTGCTTTAAGTCCATGCTAACTTCTGAAAAAAATTGTATTACACCACCAGACTTTTTTTAAAATATTCTTTGGGACGTAAATATAATAATAATATGCCAAAATAACGAGCGTGCGACCGGGTTTAAGAAGGCAGATTCAACTCCAAAAATAGGAGGAAGATACTAACTTCTAAAAAAAAAATTCTTACATCACTAAACTTTTAACATTGGAAATGTTTATGTTCTCGTATATATGGGGATCAAATTCGAAGTTTTCGTTGAAGGTCAAAAGACAGCGGTGTCGCCAGGGGCGTGCTGTGGAATAAACCCGAAGCGTTTCGCAGTGGGCGACGTGGGCGTAGTGCGTGCGCCTTGCCGGCAAACAGCAGCGCGCGGCAAGCGTTATTTCGTCATTTCGGCCTTCAAAATTAAAAAAAATAT